AGCCTGTATGCTTCCGGTGCAACATTCCAGTCATGCAGGTCATCCCACCACATCTCCATCCACCTCCACATCTTCCAACAAGATGCAACTGTACACAGATCTGACTCATTCCCCTCACCACACACATTATTGTACATGCGCTTCAGAGAGGGACCCTGGCACACTGATTTCCCAGAAATGGTTTGGGGCTTTTCTCCATAATGGTGCCTTGTAGGCACTTTTTCACTTACATGCAAATGCTAGGTGACCTTGCTTAAGCCTTGTTTTCTTGATTTTGTGATCCCTTTCTGACACACCACTGAAGACCTTTTGCTCATCCACCCTGTCAATCACTCCCTCATAGGGCTGGTAGTTACTCTTCCCCCTCCCATTGTGTCTAGTTCAAAGCCCTCCTTACAAGGTCAGCCATCCTGCTGGCAAAGCTCCCTTCATGCTGCCACAGTGGGGTGGGTACCATCTCTCCCAGGCAGACCCTGCAAACAGGGCCCTGTGGTTGTAGAACCCAAAACCCTGTTGCCCACACCAGCTCTACAACCAACTGCTCATGTATGTTGCCAGTGCCCTCCTCATACCCCTTCCCCTTACTGGTAGGATCAAGGAAACCACTACTGAGGCCCCCAGGTCCCTGACAATCACTGTCAGAGCTCTGTAGTCAGTACATATACAAAACTGATATTATATGTAATACAATACATACTTACTTGTATGTAAATATTGTACATTCATAATTTCAACACTTCTCAAAGCAAATACCTATGGACTGGAACAATCCAGGAACTCAAAATAAGTATTTCAATGTTTGAAAAAAAGGTATAAATAGAACATCCTGCATAAAAATTACTACCATTAATGAGTAATAATTTTGTGTATTTTAACAGGTATCCAAAATGAAATCTGGCAGTGAGACAATACTGTGAACTCTTAAGGTGAAATGAAAGAAAACCTGAACAGGGTGAAGAATTGTAAAATTTTCCTCATTTCACTGAGTAAAATTTATCTTCACAAGCAAACAAAACTCATTAAAAATAGCACTATGTAATGATTACACTTAAGCTGAAAAAAAAAAAATATTCTGAACACCATTTAAAGGACATAACGGAAATTAAGTGCCAAAAATCCCAAGCACTCATGCAATTTATATTTAATTTAACTTGGAAAGGAAGACAATGACTTCCAAAAGATGAGTTTTGCTCTTAATTTCTTTGCATTAACCACAATAAAAAGACACATCTTTAAATCTTTTTTTAAAATTATACAAGTTACATTTACCCTCTTATAAAACCATTTTCTCACCTTTCACTTAGTATGAAATCACTAAAATATTAATACAAATCTAAAGTGTGGCAGCAAGAATAATTTTCAGATGCCTTTATTCTTAAAATACCAGTTAATTAAAAACCACAGCATTTTTAAAAAGCCAGACAGCTAGCTAATATACTTAACATACTTTGTAGCACTTAAATTAAGCGGATGGAAAACCTTCTCAAAGATGTCACTGTGCATCTAAAGTAATCAAACAACTCATAGATGGTCCTTATTGAACTAACTGAATGAAAAGCTTGTTAAAAGAATACAGACAATTTATACAATTCTGTGAATTAGTTACAGTTGAGAATACAATGCAACACTAAATATAAATACCAAAAGATACAAAAAAAACAAAACCAAGAGATGCAGATTCTGCTCCTTCATAACCTTAAAAAGCTCCCTCTCTGTGCTCAGTAAACATTCTCTTATACAAATGCTTTACATTTACTCTTTCAAATGCTTTACAAAGCCCAAGATCATTACACGAATTATTTTTACTTTTATATGCACTTTAAAAAAAAAAATCATATTATGTATTTTTTAAATATTTAAGTACTGCAAAACCATCCTTTATAGAAAGATCCGTTAAAAAAAAAAAAAGACTTAACCGAAGTGTTCTTTGGAAAGTAAAATTAATAATAAATTTTTTGTAAAAATGACAGAAACTAGATCCCCATTGGAAGATTTTCCAGCCTTCCTCCCAACTGTTAAAGACCCATGTGCATGTTACATTTTGTCTCCAACAGTCAGCCCAATTCTACATAGTTTTTCACCATTTGATACTAGCCAAAATAGGCTGTATAGATTAATACATTTTGTGAATTTAAACAACAGTCTAAAGCTGTTCTGTGAGAGTGAAGTTCCTCAAATACACCTCAGGACACTTCAAAGTGAATCAAGGCATGAGCCAAATGCCTTCTCAATACCACCTGGAATTCTGAAGCCAGATACACAGCCTCCAGAGACCTAGGAGCTTCCCTGTGCTAATATTTTGGTCTCAATCCAGACAACATTATGTCTTGCATGTCAGAAATGCTATATATGCTAGGTGTTAACCTATGTTAGAGATACTGTCTCCTGGAACCTTTTCTTTTTTTACTAAGTCTATATCTCATCTATGAAGACTATTTGTTTTAGTCTACACTGGTTACAAAAAACAGTGAGAGAAGACCTCAGTGATGATCAAGGCCTATTTCAGAATGAACTTTGCATCTCTAGAATTGCTGCAGCCTTCTGTGATACATGACATGCTGTCAAAAACAGGTTTCAGGCAAAATATTACTCCTCTGACACTGTTGATATGTTTTATCTCAGCCATACTACATTAATTGCAGTGTAGCAGATGCCAAAATCCAGAAGTAGACCCCAAACAAAAACGACAATGTACCAACAATGGGTTCTTTAGCATTATCATTTGTCCATTCTCACTAGCAGACCTTCCACTCCTGTATTCTACACCTTCACACATCTAGCTGTAGAAGTAATAATCTGCTGCCTTGCATCAAAGAATTTAAAAATTCTGGAGATCATCTGGTAGCTACAGTACTAGCAAGACTGACTCAACAAAGGCAATTAACACAAAGACAAATTTCAGTCATACTAGTAGGATCTTGGACTGTTCAAGCACAGTGGTCACACTAATGAAGACTGATCAGTACAAAGGTATGATTACCCTAACTGAAGTACTTACCCACCTAATACATAGTCCCATAAAATCTTTAGCTTGGCTATGAAAAGCTACACTTCAGAAACCACAATAGAAGTTATGCAAAAAAAAAAAAACACCCAGCTTGTCACACGTAGGCTGATTGCCAAAAAAAAAAAAAAAAAAAAAAAAACAGAACAAGATTTGTGACAGCTAAGGATCACTAGAGCTACTACCTGGTGATCCCTACTCACAAGCTACCCTGGATTCCTTACTCACAAATTGTTACACCTTCGGGTTTAGATCAGTAAGAATTGTCCAAACTTTACTACTTATTCATGTCACCAAGAAAACTTCCGTTCCAGTGAGAGCCTTCTCAACTCCTCTGAATCTACATTCTGACCAAACAATAGCAGAAATACAAATACTAATCTTCAACCCTCCCTCCAATTCCAAGCATGATCTATCTATATAGGAACTTTAGTTGATTATTTCTTCCAGTTAATTCTTCACTGTTAGCTGTGCTCAAGTACTTTCACATTACTTGGTCAAGTCAGTTTTATTCTACCCATTAAATCCATCAGTGTCTAACTCAAAGGTATTTAAATACAGTAATCTATAATTAAACTTAAGTGTTGACAGCTACATGACCATACCATTCACTGTTCATCTTCACCCTACACAAGACACTTTGAAAAGCAAGATTTTCTGTCTGTTCTCACTGAAAATGTTTGAGAAGAGAGTTTTGAAAAGCAATAGAGCCTTCTGAAATCCACAATTCAGTGCTGTCCTTTGGGAAATAGCCGTAACCAGCCAGGGTGAATGCAGACCAGCATTCCACATACAACTTCTTGCTCAAAAGTGCTTCTGCAGTAGCCACTAACAGAACAGGCACAGCTTCAGGAAAGGATTTGCTATCTGGGAGATTCAAATAGTGATACAGGTCCATGCTGTATCACTCACATATCATAAGCAGTTATTCATTACTTGGTAAGAGTGTATTTCATCTAGTCATCATTAACACTCAAAGTAAAATTCCAACTTGGGTGATCTACCTGCAGTATGACACATACTCCAGCTGCAACTCCTCTCTATCAGGACAACAGGTGGATGACTGACTTATTTTTTGGTTTTCTGAGTGAATTAAACTCAGATTAGAAGATTCTGCTCATGTAACTACTAGGTACTGTGGACCTGGATGCTCTAGCCTGTGCTTGTTTACCTCTGGCCTGAACCACTCATGCTTGCTAACCCAATTTTTAGGCACAAAACTAATCAGATTGCAGGAACGAAAAAGATAGCTGCACAGTGTTTCTGCCATACTAGTTAGAAGCACAGACTCAGAAAAGCCTGGCAATAATAATAGGAAATCGGCATTACCATGGCAAGAGAAAGCAATAAATCTCATGGCCAACCAGGACTGGAAAGGATAAGACCAGTAACAGCAATTCCCATAGCATAAGCTGCCACAGAACCAAAAGCCTAAGCCAACATCTTCCGTTCAAATGTTTCACAGATAAACAAGGCTATCTACTTAAACGAATCTAGTTTTTTTAGACCCATTTTTTTAAACTGACTTCTTTTGAGAAGTATGTGATAATTTGGTAATTTGCAAGTTTTAGCAGCAATTCATTTTCTTCTCCTTTTTAATCCACTTTTTAAACATTTAAAAATATCTTGTGACATACTAACATATCCTGTTCTTTGAATGGAATCTGACGAAGCCAAGCTCTGTTTTAAAGATGCACTTCTTGCTGTTCCATGTGTTAATGACAAACTCACTTTGAACCCATACCACTGAATTGAAGACGACCTTAAAATCATTTTTAAGTTGATATACAGTGAAATATTAACACCCCAACACCAGGAAAACACATGCAATAATGCTGATGTTCATTAATACTTGTGTACTTCTAGCTTATTGTTTATTTAAAAGATTTATAGTCCTATTTCTCTTTTAACAGAAATCACAACAGGAACTAAATGCCATAGAAATAACTGCTATCAGATACAAGAACGGGTGGGACCACATCATCATCATCTTTACCTCTTTAATTTTGTTCCTCTTCTCTCGGATATCCGGGTCTGCTGGTTCTCCGCTGTTTATCCCTATAAGATTTGGTAAAGGAACAGGGGGCAGTGGCTTGCTGTCTTTCTTTTTCAACTCTTGCACTACTTTGTTCTTTTCTGTCTGAATCTCAGCTTGAATCTCATCCCGTGATTTCTTCAATTTCTCCTTAGCCTCTTCCAGAGCCTTTTCATGATCTGCTCGGATCTTATTTCTCAGACGTTCCTCTTCTTCTCTAGAGACACAAATTCTAGTCAGGATCTCATTACTAAAAACACATTGCTTATAAACAAACTCACCTTCAAAACAGAAGCCACATCACAAGTTGGTTTACTCTAATGATTCAGATGAGTGTACCGAATTATGTTAGTGCACAATCCTACACTATTTTTGCCATTAACCCTGAAAGAAGAACACTACATGCATCAGCAACACTATTGTAGAAAATCAAATCATATACAGGTTTTCTAGATTACATCTCAGCACCTCTGCTTGTCTGCTCAAGAATTTATAGAGGAAAAGCCTTACATCCTGTACTACAGCTACAGGATGTGTGCAAAGGCACATCTAGCAATCATCCACTTAAAGAAATCAGAAAGGCTCTTCCTTCTACACAATAAATATATCATACACAACTTGCCAAGTTTGGAAGCAACCACTAAAAAAAAAAAAAAAAAAATACTAATGCTGAGGTGTGCGCTTCAAGAGCTGCAAATTCCACCACAGCATGTTTTGTCTTGAATTCAGAACTCATTCCAATCAGTACAGTCCATGAACATCACAAATTAAATGCAGAGTTAATTATAAAGCCATTTAGGAACATAAGAGCTTTTAGTAAAACATGTTTTTGAAACTCACTGTCAACAAAACCAATATAATCTTAGTTCTAAGCACAATCTTCCATCGTGACCTTTAATGATCGGTAAAAGTTTTGCGATTCATACACAAAATGAAGGGTGTTGAGTTAAACAAGAGGTTATTCTAACCACAGCCAAAAATGGCCAATTCCAGTCCTAAAATATTTTAAGGCATCAGAAAGGTACACATCAAACTCTCAATATAACACAATCTTTTCAAACTTTAAAACACAGAGTTGCTTAGTGACTAATAGAATCCAAAATAGGTGTAAGGATTTAAAACAAGCACTACTTACAAAAAAACCCACGATCTCTTCCTGTTTCCTCCCCCAGGCAAAAATATTTTTTCCTCAAAGAGCATTAAGGAGAAGACAGTGGATGATGGAAAGGAAAGAAGGCAAGCAGCAAACCATGTAAAAAACCATCAAGCTTAGCCTAAGTTCTAGGAGAAACTTGACCCATATTACATGTTTTTTCTGGTATACTGAAAAAAGCAATGAAAAGGAGTAGCCACCATTTGAAATGTGAAAATTAGAACAGAAGAGTTCAATTGGAAGGTACCTAAAGCAATCATCTTGTCTAATGGCAATTAAAAGTCAATACAAAGTTTACTGAAAAAAATAAACATAAGACTAACACCAAACACTGACAACAAAAAAAAATAAAGTGTCTGCATATTTATATTGGGATATTTTCCTACAAAGGTTATTAAAAATATTGGACAAAGTCTATGATAAACTGATAATGTTTCCAGAGATTCAAACAAATTTTCAGTAACTTGCTGTGGTGCTGTGTTGGAATATTTGGGTATATTTGGAACATATCTTACTAAGCTTTGCAAGTATAATAGAACTGGTTTTATTAATCTCACAGATTGTGTCTATTATAGAGCACTGCTTCACCTTTACAAAAAAAGGACAAAGAATGAAGCTAATAATGATTAACTTGCATAGAGTTAAGATACAACAGTATCAGAGCAGTCCCACTAGACTGGTCAATTTTATTCAAGGTTTATGACTGCTACAGTCCTCTGACTAAGGAGAGCTTATTTTAAGCCAAAGTGCAATAAATCAAGCTTTTAGTTCCAGAAATTCACATTTCAATCTTCCAGTGCACTAGCCCTGACTGCTATTTCTAAACATCCAGCATATTTTTAAGTTAAATTTTATACACCTCTAGGCTCCAGTCTTCAGCTTCGGCTTAAAAGCTCAAATAGAGACTTTAATTTTTTCAGGCATGTGTTTTATTCTCAGTTTGACAAAGTCTGAGATCACTTGACATCATCCATAAAATAACTTCGCAGTTTACAGGCCAACATGCATATGATGCAGGGGAAAAATCATGGTACTCTTCACATGAATGCTCTCAGAAAAATATGCACTGTTACACAAAGAGCGTTTTATTAGCGCTTAATAGCATGTAAGAAAAAAACTTAAGATCTCATTAAAAAAAAATAGTAGCATTATTACCTTTCAATATTTCAGTACCAGAAATACAGTGCAATGTTTTATCAGATGCACTGACTGAGAGGCATTCAAACTGAAGTTCTTCAGCTGCTCTTCTCAACATGACCCATGTCACATCTGTATTTCTTCCAAACAATAAAAAATGAAATCCAAGCTCATTAACACTGTTGAATGGTAACAGCCCTTCTCTCCCTCAACTACAGAGCAAAGAAACAACTTTCAAAGTGGCAAAAGACTAGTCTAAACAGAGAAAATACAAGTAATACTATTTAGGATAACTTTTCCTCCTACTATGACCAATTTATGGGGGAAATTGACTTTCCTGTATTCCTGTAAAAGTTACATTCTACTGTGGCAGCAATGTGTTCAATTCCATAACAAAAGCAGCTGAACATCTCTATTCAGTGAAGATTTGAAACCCTAGTTCTGTTATCTGGAAAGTTTTTCCAAGGCTAGCAGAGGGCTCTGTGTAAGATGCAACTAGAGAGAATGAGGTCGCCAGAACGAGACATCATTCCCCACAGTCATGTTCTCACCAAGAAACAGCATGCTGTACAGGAGCCAAAGAGGTGGCTTACAGAGAATGAGAAATAGGAAGCATTCCTGAACATTTAAGTATCAAAATAATTCAGTGTGGAGATAATGTATTTTGGAGATGTGTTTCTCATTTTCAAAACTCAGTTTCTGGAGACAAGTGACAGCCTTTACCTTCTGACTAGATCTACTAATGTTTTGTTGATAGATATTGAAATTCTTTTTACAAAAGATCAACTATCACTGAAAAATCCGAATGTATCCCAGACCTCAATAAAAAGATATTCCACATTAATCTAATTTGAAGATGGTGCTTTACAGTGACTGTATTTTATTCATAAATAGAAATGGTTTTGGTAAAACCCATGGTTAATGTGCATGTCTCCAAATACAATCCCCTTGTGTGAAAAAGATTAATTATGTTTGAGTAGTTATAGTGAGTCAGACTCACTAAAACGAGTCTCTGGTGATATGCTTTGTGCACCTTCAGGATTTTGCACCATCAAGATCAAGTGCCATGAAGAGGTTGCCTTTACCTTTCCTTTAAGTTTTCAATCCCAGGTGCTGCATACAACAGTAAAAATAAAAGCTCCATCACTCTACCAACTTCATCTATTTCTAGATTCAAACTGCATGAAAGAACCATAAATTGGAAAACAGGTTTTGAACTCATGTCTGTTTACACTACAGGAACCACTATATAAACATACAAAAGCTGTTGATTTCTACATCACTATAATCCAATTAGAGTCATTAAGGAGGTCTGAATGACAGTCTACTTCCCTTCAGTCACCCAGCAGAATACCTAAGTGTTTGAAGAAAATACACAGAGACTCAGAGATTAAAAATTCCAGCTCTAACTGTATGATCAGCTCCCAATCTTCCAGGAAGTGACATTTTGAGACAAACATAAGAAAACAGTAAGATGAAGAGAAAGGTCAAGAGGTATTTGAGGGAGTTTACAGGAGATAGTACAAGAGCTGCTTCTGCAGACAGATATCCTCTATGCAATTACCAATGATGGACAGCATGAGCTACAAGAACTGTCATATCCTACATTCCAGCTGAAGACACCTTTTACCAAATATATTCAAGTATATGACCCTCATGGAAGAAAAATCACACCCGTAAATACCAATATCACATGTTTCTTTTGAGTTCTTAAGCAACAAGAACTAAGTAAAAATACAGAATAAAGTTAAGAAGGTGAGAAGATTGGAATGCGTGAGCAGTTGACATACCCACCCCTTCAGGTCATACCCAAACAACAAGCAGCTCCCCATCCAGGTGAAGAGTCAGCAACAGTTTAATGCACATAGATAGCACTACATTCAAATACTCAGAGTTAAAGAGACCTCAAAAAGGATTAATCTAAAAATATAAAATATTGGAAAGGATCCCAGCACAAACACATATACCAAAATGTGTCAGTTTCCCTTATCCACCTACCTAGCCCACCCTGCTTCTAGGCAACATAAGCCAACTCTTAAGATAAGAGCATTTTCAATAAATCTTCAAAAACCATACCTAACAGAAAGCTGCGGTTTCCTTTTAGCCTCCCCAAAAACTTATTCTGAAGTCTCAAGACAGAGGTTCAAGTGCCATAAAGCTACAGCAGTAGCTACTTTAAAACAAGCAATATTATTAAAAGGATCTGTGATTAGACTATTTTTGCCAAGCAAGAACCATAAATAGACCTAATAATTAGAATCTGAAACTAGAAACAGGTGCAAGATTTTTTTTTAAAACAATCACTGTAATTAACTATTGCAGCTGCTTATGCAGGAACACAGCACCCTCTCAAAGCATGCACGAGCTGTCTAAATGTCATTCAGAAAAGACCACAAATTATAACGCTTGATAACCGAATCACTAACTGAAACTTAATGTGCTTTAATTATGCACAAAGTAGTGAGCCTTCCAAACTTAACAGCTACTAAGGCTTCACTTGCCAAGACAATGACTTTTAATGTAAGTCTGTGATACAACAGGCTCTTTAGAAACTGAATTGCAAAAAAACAAAAATGCTTTCAAATTTCTTCCTAAGATTCAAGATCAAAAAAGGAAACAAAAATTAGAACAGTCTAGAAAAGAAAACTGGCCACCAGCAACTGTTCTCTCACACTAAGAAGCAGAGCACTGGATCACTACAGCAAAAGGACAACTAGTTTATTATTTAGATTTTCAGCAGATGGGTAGACAAGAAGTGTTAAAACACATACATGTTCGTGGAAGTCTGTCATTCAACCCCTGTATGGAAATTCTGAACTTTTACCCTTTTGTCAAGTTTAATCTTTAATCAGAAACTACTTTCAGAGACACAGTGAAACAAAAAGATACACACTAACTTAAAAAACAAAAAATCCTTGAGAGT